TTGTTTGTTTTTACCTTTTCTGGCGCCGCCACTGACATCACCCCCTCCTTCTCTTCCTCCCCCTCCCAAATCAACCCATTATTATTTACACGATCTTTGTGATTGTTGTTTGTTATTTCGCACCATCGAATCCTTTTTCGTGTCTCGTTAAATTTAAATTGAGCGTTAAAAAAAAAAAAAAATTTTTTTTTGTAACGTGACGTCGTCGAACACTGTTAACCTAAAATTATCTTTGAATCGATACATCGATGGATCGATATATCGATCTATCGAATAGATTGAAAACGACAAAATCGTGAATAAAATCGATAAATAAATAAAATTTTGTGATTCGGATACCGCCATTAGTGTAAAATTAGGTGGTGGAAATGATGATGAAAATTATAACATTTTCGTGTGTGAGGGAGGTGGGGGGGGTGTGTGTGATTGGCGCCGAATATTTAATGAACGTTGCTGCACCCACCCTCGATCGGAGTATTATTATTATTATTATTATTATTAGTTTGAAAAATGCGTATATGCGTATATTGATTAAGGGTGAAACGTTTTACGTGCGTGAAAGAAAAAAAATTTAAAAAAAAAAAAAAAATGTACTCAACCTGAATATTATTAGATCGTAAAAGATATAAAACATCTTTCTCTCTCTCTCTCTCTTTCTCTCTTTTTCAACCACGTACGGATAAAATAATAATAATAATGATGATAATAAATGAAAGATGAAAAAAAAAAAAAATGCCCCGAGTTTTTTTGTATCGTAACGCCCATTAACACGCCCCAATTGCAATAGATTGTTTGTGGGGGGTTTGAAAATTATTTTAAAAGAAGACAGACAATTGCGACAGAAATATTTGTTGTAATTACAACGATAAAAGAAAATCTATAGAATTTTCCGTAATTTCCGGAAAATTTTTTTAACTTCCGGTTTTCGAGGAAAAACAAAAAAAAGAAAATGAAAATGAAAATTGTTTGTTTATTATATGATTGTTGTTGTTGTTATCCATTCGGTTAATTGATTCGCGAATTAAACGAAAGGTGACGAAAGGTGACGATAAAAAACGAAAGTAAACGAAAGTAGTCGATTGATAACGAAGTCGGGGGAGGGGGAAATGATTTTTACTTTTAATTAATAACGATCTTAACGGATTTTTCAAAAACGGTTTAAAATTTTCCGTTTTTTTTTTTGTTTGTTTGTTTGTTGTTTGTTTGCTGTTTGTTCGCGTTCGAAAAGGTTTGGTAAAATTTAAAAAAAAAAAAAAAAACAAATTAATGATGATGATGATGATTTTAAATGGCGTGAACATCAAAAGAAAAGAAAAAAAATTAATTAATTTAATTTATGTTTATGATGAAATCACTGTCACGCCATTAAACAACCTTAAAATATGTACCTAAAAAAAAAAAAGTAGTGGTTAAGGGAGGATTTCGAGGGTGGGTGTGGGTGTGGGGGGTGGTAGTAAGTATATAAAAAGTAAAAATGACTAGCAGTTTAAAAAAAAAAAAAAAAAATACAAAGGCAAGTCCGGATTTCTTTTAGTGAGAAAACAACCCTTTTGTACGTCGAAATTCGGGGTGGCCATATTTTTTTTTTTTTTAATTTTAGGTAGGAACCTTCATTTTAAACCTTTCACTCACTAAATTTAACTGACAATTGATTTTTTTAGTTTTTTCCAATTCGATAAAATTCACGACGACAAAAACGGAAAAGTTTCGCTTAAGAGAAAAGTGAAAAAAAAAAAAAAAAAATTTTGCTTAATGCCACGTTTTTTTTTTTCTTTTCCTTCTTCGTATTTTTGGGAAAACAACAACAACAACAACAACCAAAGTTTGTTTTTAAACCTTATTAAATTTCACGTCATCTTTTTAGTTTTTGGAATGTGAGATTTTTTTTTTTTCGGTTAATACAAACACTTTTTAACGGTCAATTTTTAAAATTTTGTTGACGTCATCATCCAAGTTTATAAGAATCAAAGGAAAACTTTTGATTTTTTTCCTAAATTCTCTCTTTTTACTTGAAAGGTTTTATAAATGTGGGTATGTTTTTGTGAACAACCAAACAACCAAACAACCACGCCAATTTCCTTATGTTGCAAACACGAAATGCAATAATAATAATAATAATAATAATAATAATAATAATAATAATAATAATAATAATAATAATGGAGGACGTTATTACGAGTTTTGAAAAAAAAATGTAAAAAAACTGACCACGCGGATTTTCATACGCACGCGATTGATATTTTTCATTATTATTATTATTATTATTATTATTATTATTCCATCCATTGTTTTAAGGGTTGTTATTCGTCTTAGAACAGGTATTTTTATCATCATTATGACTGATTTATTATTATCATCATCGGTTTATTTTTATAAGAAGTTATCTAGTTGGTTTATCAAAAACTTGGTCGCGGTCGTCGTAACAATGATAAATTTTCATTCACTCTCTCTCTCTCTCTCTCTCTCTATTCATCTTATTCATTCATTCATTCATTCGCGAGACAAAATGAGAGAGAGAGAGAGAGAGAGATTAGGAACGTTTTGGAAAATAAGTAAATAAATATTCAAAATGTGAAATAATAAATAAATAAATTTGGAGCCGTTTTGTGCGTGCGTGAGTGCGATCGGAGGAGGAGGAGGAGGAGGGGAGGCATTTAATCGCGTAATAATAATAATAATAATAATCATAATAATAATAATTTAATAATTAAAAAAAAGTTGTGGTTATTTTATGTTGTCGAAAGGTTAGCCGAAGGTTTTTCCAACTAAGCTGGAGAAAATGATGATGATGATGACGATGATGATGACGATGATGGTTGTGGTGATAATGATGATGATGATGATGATAGGAAATCGCAAGTGATTATTTAAAATAAAAGTTTGGAGTTAAAAATAAAACGCTTTCTCGTTCGTAAACTTTAAAACGTAAAAAAAAAAAATTATCGACGAATAAAAGAAACCTTGAAAGGCTAATGGAAAAAAAAAAGAAAAAGAATATGGAAATGACTGGAAGCTATAAAACAAAAAAAAAAAAATTTTTACATGCGAGGGAGATAACCAACCGCAAATGAGTCCAATTTTTTTTTTTTTTTTTTACAAAATTTTAATGTCGGTCGCTGGAAATGCAAAAAAAAACCCAACAAACAAACAAATGCATGCACCCACGATAAAATTACTGGTTAAAAAAACACGTGACTTTATATTATTATTATTGACGTCATCGTAATTACGTCACACTCACACACAAATACGCGATTATTTATTTATCGTAAATTCGTTTTACTTTTGATTTGGTTGACCAAACGTTGGAGAAGTGTGGAAAATGTTTTTTTTTTTTTTGAGGGGTGTATGGAGGGAGAGGGGGGGTGAGGGGCGTGAGGGTATGGGAAGTTAAAAAGGAAAAAATTTGTTGCAAAAAAAAAAAAAAAAAGAAGAGGGATTAAAAAAACAAAACGAAAAATAATTTAAAAAAAAAAAAAATGTGTCGACATTGTTTAAATGAACAAGAACAAACCTCGAAATTCTTGTTTTAACTAAAAAAAAAAAAAAATCTTTTGTCCGTGTCACATGGGTCAAGACAAAAAGAATGCCAACAACAACAACCAGAAGAAAGAACAACGGTCGAAGAATAACATATTTTTTTTTTTATTTATTTGAAATTCTAGAGACGTTCAAAGACAAATAGAGAAAATTTCACGTCCCTTTTATTTATTTATTTATTTATTTTTTTCCATGTTCGACTAGAACAACGTTATTATTATTATTATTATTATTATGAGTGACTGGGCAAACACATAACAAAAATGGGATTTTTTTAACTTGTTAGCAAGAGAAACCGAAAGAGAGAGAGAGAGAGAAAAACTTTTAAAAAAAAATGTTGCAAGGGAAAATTGTCATTGAGTTTGTTGTTGTTGAGATAATAAAAAAAAAAATTTTTTTTTTTTAATGGCGGCGATTGTTGTTGTTGTTATTACCGGTCATATTCGAATGATTTATTTATAATTATTTGCAATACTACATCCTCGTCGTCGTCGTCGTCGTCGTTGTTTCTTCGTTTTTTGTTATAAGACGAAATAAAAAATAAAAAAAATTTATTTACATAAATTGAGTCGGGTAAAATAATAATAATAATAATAATGAGTAGTACGATAATGATGATATTGTAAATAATGACGAAGTTAATTTTTTCTTTTTTTTTAATTTGTTACTGATTTATTACCTGAATATATATTTTTTTTTAAATTTTAAATTTGATATTTTTTGTGGAATAAATTAAAAAGCTTTATTCAAAAGGAGAATTCGTGTTTGTTGTTGTTGTTGATGATGATGATGATGATGAAAAATTTTTTTAAATGAGTAACCCGCCAAAAAAAAAAAAAATAGGTGTAATAAAATATGTAAATGATTCAATGAATGTTTAAGTATTTGCATTTATTTATTTATTAATGATTTTAAATATTACTTATTAAAATAGTCAGTCATTGAACGAGTTAAACGTTTCAAGGTTCAATTTGTTTTTCTTATTTTATTTATTTTTTATTTATTTTAACACTCGTACCGGTAATTTTACGATAATTTCTTTAAAATTAAATTTTTTTTATTTATTAAATTATTTTAATAATTAAAATTAATAAAAATTAAAGTTTTAAAGCCAAAATCGTGTTGTCAAATATTTTTGTTTTGTTTTCTTTTGCAGTGTGATAAATATAAATTTGTCATAGAGTTAGAAAAAACATTTTTGGCGGTCGTTCGATATATCGAAAGTCACGCGTGACAAGTCGCCATTTTGAATTTGGGAAAAAAGCGGTTATAAGGTACTCCGGTTGATTTTATTCATCTGCGCATTTTTGATTTTTCGCGTGTTCGTTTTTTTTTTATTTTTAAAGTGTTTTTAATAAAGTAAAATGTGATTTAAGTATTATAATTAGAGTTGTCGTCATTTTGAAATAAATAAAAGTAAAAGTTATCGTTATCGTTTTAACCTAACATCGTTAAGGAAAATGTCGGAGGACGAGGTTGAAAGATTTGAAATTACTGATTACGATTTGGAAAATGAATTCGGTTTCAAAAGGACTAAGATAAGTAAAAACGAAAGAATTTATGGTATTTGGGCGGAAAATGAAAGCAGCGGAGATGAAGAAGCCAGCAGTAGGCGTCCCTCTTTTAGGGGGTCTAAGAAACCTAAAAATTACACGGCTCCCATCGGTTTTGTCGCGGGAGGAATTCAACAGTCTGGTAAAAAACCGGAAAATGAAAAAAAGGATGAATCCGATGATTCTAATAATGATGAAGACAGAGATGATTCTGGTATTAAATCATCGAAAATGCGTATAAAAAATTCTTCATCTGATGAGAGTGATAATGATGCTCCAAGGATGAATAGTTTTATGCCAAACTATGATAAACATTTTGGTCATGGTAAGCTAACAATAACTTTCTAATAAGTAATATATCCTTTAAAGTAAATGTATTTTCTATTTTTTTTTGTTAATTTGTAAATCCAGATGAAATCGCTGGAATGAGAAAGAAAAAAACATTTGTGAATAAAACAATGCAAAAAGGAGTTGGCAATTGGGAAAAGCATACCAAAGGAATTGGAGCAAAATTATTGCTTCAAATGGGTTATGAACCTGGTAAGGGTCTTGGTAAACAGCTACAAGGTATTAATGCTCCCATTGAAGCAAAATTAAGAAAAGGAAGAGGTGCAATTGGTGCTTACGGTCCAGAAGTATGTTATCGATTATCAATTTTACATTCATACTTTGTTTAGAGATATATTTTGAATTAATTTCCTTTTTATTTTTAAAGGCTACTCAAAAAATTGCAGAACTTCAAACCAATGATAAAGATAAAAAAGAAGTTACTCAAAAACTTTCAAGATGGAGGAAAAATGATGAAACTGCTAACAAACAAGTTAAATACATATTTAAAAGTATAGACGAAGTAATCGAGCAAGGAAACGATAAGCCTTCTTTTACTGATGCAGGGTAAGTACTTATCGAAAAAACATCCAAAATTAAATTTTTGTAATTAATTATTAATTGAGTAAATATAATTCTAGAACAATGTCAAAAGTTAAAGTCATTGATATGACTGGTCCACAACAAAGAGTTTTATCAGGATACCATGCAATTTCGAGGCAGCAAAGACCTTCAGACGAATGGGAAACTAGAAAGGAAATGAAATTTGCCAATTTTGCATTACCCGAGCTTCAACACAATCTTAATCTTTTAGTCGATATGTGTGAACAGGTAAAATAAAAAAAATTCTAAAAAAAAAAAAAATTGAAAATGTTTTTAATTGTGTGTGACATAACGAATAACTTTATACATTCCAGGATATTATACAGAATGACAGGAAGTATAAATATTCGAGTGATAAAATAGTCATGCTACAACATGAAACAGTTCAGTTGGAAAAAATTTGTAGTAATGAAGAAATAGAAATAAATAAATTGGATAAATTTATATCTATAATCGAAGAAATGATTAATTCGAGTCAAAGCAACACATTGTCTTTGGATAGAGTTGTTTTTGTGCTCAAACAATTGCAAGTGAGACAAACCTTAGCAATTGTTTTATTATCATTATCGTTTTATCGTTTAGACTTTCTTTAATCTTGTGTTTTTTTCTTTTGCTTATTTCCAATCAGGAAAACTATTACGAAGAATATAAACTTTACGACGTTGCCGAACTTGCAACAACCATTGCCACGCCGTTAATTAAAAATTATTTGAAAAATTGGCAACCGTTGGTGAATCCGGAAGAACCCATCGAGTTGATTAAAGAATGGAAAAACATACTGGAAAGTGATCACGGAAGCGTCATGTCAAGTCTTTCGAATCAAGATCCATTTGGAAAATTAGTTTGGCACGCATGGATCCCGTCGATAAGATTTGCAATCACGTAAGATTTTATTAAAACAAAAAAAAAATTTCATTCATTCATTTTGTTATATAATTCGTTGTGATGAATTTTTTTTTTTTTTTTTGTAGTAATTGGGAATGTAGGAAACCGGAACCCGTTGTCAAACTCGTGGATACGTGGATATCGATACTACCACGTTGGATTATGGATAACGTTTTAGAACAATTAATTTTATCGAGGATAACTTTATTCGTTCACGAATGGGATCCAATGACGGATACGATTCCGATCCACGCGTGGATTCATCCGTGGTTGCCTCTCCTCAGTAAGTCGATGGTTTTTCGCAATAACAAAAGAAAAATGAATGCCTAATTTTAAAATAACGCACTTTTTTTTTTTTAATTACAGATACTCGTTTGGATTCTGTGATATATCCAATGATTAGACATAAACTAAGTTTGGCCTTGGCAGCATGGCATCCGAGCGACAGATCGGCAAAATACATGCTATTACCTTGGAATAATGTTTTTAGCAAAGGAGACATGGATTCGTTTTTAGTAAGAAATATTTTACCCAAATTGGGTCAAATATTAAATGAGTTTATCATAAATCCACAACATCAAGTTCTCGGTAAGGATTTGTTATGGTGAAACGATTATTATTATTATTTTGCATAATTTACGTACGTGTTTTGTTGGCTTCATGCTTTTTTTTTTTTTTTCTCTTCTCTCCTCTTCTCTCCTTTAGATGAACATTGGAAGTGGGTTATGGAATGGGAAGAACTAATGCCCGTACACTCGATGGCTGGACTATTGGAAAAACATTTTTTTCCAAAATGGTTGCAAGTTTTATCGATGTGGTTAAATCACACTCCGAATTACGATCAGGTGACAAGTTGGTACATCGGTTGGAAAAGTCAATTTTCAGATGCTCTGTTGAAGCAACCTAACATTAAGGGTAAGTGAAAAAGTTTTGTATAATTAATTTAAGCGTCATCGTAAAAAAAAAAAAGAAAGAAAAATTAATAGCGGAAGGATTTTTTATTTAGAACAATTTAAACAAGCGCTGGAATTGATGAACAGATCCGTCGGTAACGGACAAATTCCAGGAGCGATGGAATCATTGTCTTATTTGAAAAACGTCGAACGCGACACTTCGACATCTTCTAATCCCACGTCGTCGGCAAGGTTTCAGGTAGAATTTTCTTTAGCCACTAAATTTTCTTAAATTATCACACATTTCGTTTTTTAACTTTTTCTTTTGTTTTACGTAGTCGTTGCAAGATGCTGTTCGTACGGGTGGACAAGCGGCCGTTTCCGGTTACAAAGCACTTTTTGCAAAACGTTGCGAAGAAAAAAATATAATTTTCGTACCCATACCGAATAAAAGTTACGAAGGGAAACAAGTGTACAGGTGCGGGAGCATTCAAGTTTACATAGATCGAAACGTCGTTTTCGTTTCGCAAAATGGTGGTGCCACGTGGATTCCGCAATCATTGGGTACGGCATTGGACATGGCGGAAAAATAAAAAAAATAATATCAAAAGTTTTATGTGTAACGCGTGAAATAAGTGGTAGTACTCGGTACGATGAAACAGTTTTTTATTATTATTATTATTATTATTTTCATCGTGGAAAAAAAAAAGTGATAATCGTAGTATTTTTTTCGATTGAAAAAAAAAAAAAAAAGACAAAATGGCGGAAACAATCGGCTGTTCAATTGTGCTGAAAAAAAACTTGGAAATCAAGAGATGGATATTTTTTTTGTTCTTCCCTCCAAGGACTGATTTTCAGGTAAGGTAATTTTCATTTCTAAAAAGGCGTGATAGAAAAAGAAAGGAGAAAGAAGAGAGAGAAAGAGAGAAAAAAAAAGAAAAAAATAGGGAGTCATATGAAAATAATTGATGACTGTTTGGGGGGGTCATCCGGATCCCCAGTCGCTCATTATTAGTCTGAGAGTCTCATCGGTGATCAAGTGGGGGAGAGAGAGAGAGAGAAAAAAAAAAAGAAAAAGATTTTCCGTATTGACAAATTATCTCTTATTTCTTTATGATCTCCTTCTTTCTATTCACGTTTATTCTCTTTTCCACAACAATAATTATTAATCACATTTAAAATTTGTTTTCTCACTCACTCACTCACTCACTCTCTCTCTCTCTCTCTCTCTCTCTCTCTCTCTCTCTCTCTCTCTCTTTCTCCCTCACTCAATCTTTTCTGATTTAACGGAAAATGTTTGTTTTTTTTTTTTTTTGTTTTCTTACTCTATGAACTCTGTTAGGACTTTAAATGAAAAAAATATGTATATGAGTTTTGTTTTGTTTTTATCTTTTCTTCTTTTTGCCAACGGTACCTGTGTAAGGAAGGGTTCTCTTACCGTACCTTTTAGAGATTTAGGTTTTCTACTGGGGCTATTTCGGTGTCTGATGTCGTGGGGATCCAATCGAAAAGGTTTCGGGTGGTTTTTGACTCCTGCGATTCTACCTTTTTATTAATTCCAACTGTGCATTTTCCCACTTTTTCTCTTAATTACTGAACCATCATCATCATCATCATCATCATCTATATAGTTATCATTAGGGATTCAATTTAATTAAAAAAAAAAAAAAAAAGGAAGAAATTAGGGAATAGATTTTAGATTTGTTTAAATTTTAACTACGACTAACTAGACAAACTTTTATTCTTCTTCTGATGATGACAGGAGCGAAAGAACGGTTACACATTAATCAATTAATTCAGTCTGGCATAAAGTTTTTCATTAGTCGTGCACGAGACGTTGGAAAAAGATAGTTTGTTTTTACTAGGAGGAGAGGGGAGAGAGGGAGGGAGGGATTCTAGAAATTTCCGTTTTTTTTTTTAAATAATTTTTTTGTTGTTGTTGTTGTTGTTGTTGTCGGTTATTTAAAAAAGTTTCGTTTTGGTTATTATTTGATTGATTTTTCTAGAGAGAGAGAGAGAGAGAACAAAAGGAATTTTTTCGTTTATTTATTTGTAATTTTTATTAGAGATGATGATGATTATGATGTTGATGATGGTGATGATGATTGTGATGATGATGATGATTGTGATGATGATGATGATGATTGTGATGATGATGATGAATGCGGAATGATTTAATACGTAAAAATTAATTTCAAAATTTTTTGTCCTTTGTTATCGACGGCATTTTCCGGGGCGGGGGGTCAATTGAATCTTTGTTTCATTTCGGTGTTTTTGTATTTTATTTTATTTACCTTTTTCTTTTCTTTTCTTTTTTTTTCTTTTTTCTTTTTCGAAAGTTGAGAGAGGAAGAAGAAAAGTAAAAGTAAAAAAAAAAAAGAGAAAAAAGAAAATCAGGCGGTTGTTGTAATTTTGTCAACTTGAGGCAAAGTCGTAAGTAACTACGCTCGATTTGTTACAACTTTGAAATCCCATAAGGATCATTAATTTAACCGAAAAAACCTTTTGCCTCCTTACCAAAGGCAAAAAAAAAACGGGTGAAACCTTTTATTTTTTCCTTTGTTTTTTTTCCTTTTTTTTTTTTTTTTTTTTTTTTTTATCATCATCGATCCGTCGATCGAAAACTTTTGTTTAAAACCATACGCGAGGTTATGTATGTGTTTGAGTAAATTTTTATTTCCCCCCCCCCTCCCTCCGTTTCTTCCACGCGGAAAAGGAAAAAAGGAAAAAAGGAAGTTTGGAAAAATAAATTTGGAACAAAAGGTTTACAATCGTATTAAATTTTTGATTTGATTTAAAGTTTTTTTCGAAATCAAATTCGATCCGGTCGTTTAATTTCTACAATTTTAATTCGACTAAGTTTTAAGTTTACCGATGGGGAAGGAAAAAAGGAAAAAAGGAAAAAACATCAATCAGACTTAAAACGACAGCGAATTAAAAATTTTTTTTTTCCGATATTTAAAGTTTATTGAAATGATTGACCTTCTTAATTCTTACCATTTATTCTCATCGCATTGTTTTCTCTCTCCCATTCTTTCTCTCTCTGTCTGTCTCTCTTTTGTTTTGGGATTGGGGAAAGGAAGGAGTGGGGGGAAAAATCGTTTTTTTTTTTTTTTTTTTTTTTATCTTTCTTCCCCCTTCTCTCTCCCTCTCTCTTTATCTTTTTCGGGAGTGTGAATCTTCTTAAGTATGAAATACATCAAATAAGGGAAAACATTAATAATAATAATAATAATAATTTACCTGTAGTAGCAGGTGGTAAAAAGTCACGAGGAAAAATATTATTCAGGATTTAAAAGGAAAGAAAAAAAAAAAAAATGAAATTGAAAGATGCGAAAAATCATCATCATCATCGCGTGTTTTTGTTTACCTTTTTTTTTTTTTTTTGCTGTTGTTGAGGGGGGAAGGTAGGGGGTGAGGTGGAAGGTGAAATAATTTTCGATTCGTCATTTTGAATTTTGTTTAATCATAGAAAAAGAGCTTTTTAAAATTTCAATAGTCAGGAGAGAAAAGAATTGGGAAAAAGTTAAAGATAATAATAATAGTTATGGTTATAATAATGTGAAAAATTCGAGCAAGCTTGAGGATTTGATACGCTCTCCTGCTGCCACGTTTTTTTTTTTTTTTTTTCCTTAAGCACGACCTCGTTTACCATTTTTTTAACTCTCACCCCCTCATATTATTTCATTTTCCTTCTTCTCTCATATACCAACCAATATCCATCTCGTTTACTGGGGTGTTACAATCATTACATCTTTTAAATAAACATCATTTACCAAAGGTTATATCTCCAACTACTATCCCCCGAAATAAAAAGGAATGAGAGAGAGAGACAGAGAGAGGGAAAAGGGATCGAATGTGTATATAAGTTTTCTCTCTCTCTCTCTCTCCTCGTCTTTTTTTTATTTCGTTTTCGGATTTTTATAGGCAATAGAAATAAATTTTCAAAGAGGAGTGCGTGTTAAAAAAAAAAACAATTTTGTATTTTGGTTTTTTTCGTCGGTCATTCCATCATTCATTCATTCATTCATTCATTCATTCATTCATTCAATCTATTTGTTTTTTTAACTTTTCTTGTGTGTGAATTTTCGTGCGGTTGAATTTATTTCCTTGCGGAAAAAAAAAACGATGCCACATCGAAAAGAAAAGAAAAGTCGTGTAAATTGAAACGATAACTTTTGTTTTTTTTATCACGAAAGCGTAGAAGAGTAGGGGGAGGGGAAAATAATAATAATAATAATAATGACGATGATACGTAAATAAACCAAAACGAGGGAGAGAGAGAGAGAGAGAGAGAGGGAAACAAAAAGAAAAATGGATTTGTTATGTTTCTTATCCGAGCATAAGATTATTCATACAACTTACCAGTTATGAATCTTATTAAGAACGCCACACTCCTATAAATTAAATCAAACTTTCATCCCCATCCCCGTCCCTCTCCTTCCCTCATTGCGTTCTGGAGCGTGTGCGTGTGCGTGTGCGTGTGTGTGTGTGTGTGTGTGTGTCGTCTCTTCATCCCTAACGCCACGATTTAAGATTTTCAGTTTTGATATTGCCACTCTCTGGATCTCCCTTCCTTCCTTCCTTCCTTCCTTCCTTTCTTTCTTTTTTTCTATTCACGAGTTTTCTCTCTCTCTCTCTCTCTCTCACTCTTGCTCTTTCCCAGTTTATTTTCTCTCTCACTTTTTTATACCCGCGTGCATGCCATCCACACATATTTGCTTAGCTTATTTCTTTTTGTTTTTCTCTCTCTCTCTCTCTCTCCCGAAAAAGAAAAAAAAAAATTAACGAAATGCAATCGCATATTCAATCGTGCGATTGTTTTTTTTTTTTTTTTTTGCTCGTTTCGTTCGTTTGTCTTTAAATTATCATCATCATCATCATCATCATTATTATTTTTTATTCATTCTCAATCATTCTTCTATTCGCTCTCTCCCCTCGTTTTTTAATTCATTTTTTTTTTTTTTTTCGTCTTTTTATTTGCTTGTAATTTAATAAAGTTTTTTTTTTTTTTTTCGATTAACCATTAAATAAAATCGTTTCGGATTTCCATATCCGGTCGCCATTTTATTTTTTTTTTTTAAGGAAATTTTTTTTGAAATTTTGTTTCTCGTCGCATAAGCGTTATATAAGCGATTGGTGGGGGGGGGGGGGTGCAGGTGTCGCATGCATTTCCCACCGTCGGCAAAAAATAATTATTATTATGATTTTTTTGAATGCTGTCGTTTTTAATAAAAAATAATAATAATAATAATAATTGTTTTTTTTTCACGTGGTGAAGGAATTTAGTCATCGGTAAATTTATTATTTAGCCCAAAAAAAAAAAAAAAAAAAAAAAAAAAATGGCGGGTTAATGGTAAAAACAAAACAAAACAAAAAGTCGAAAGCGCGCGACGAGATTTGTATGTGTTTGTGTTTGTTGTGTGTGTTGTGATATTGAAAAGGCGCATGTCAACCATCCGACATTTCATTCGTCCCTTCAGTTGGTTTCCGACATTTGCCAACAAGACTCATTGTTACAAACCAAATAAAAAAAAAAAATTTTATTTATTTATTTATTATTATTATTATTATTATTATTATTATTAGTATT